CGGCGGGGGAGACACTGCGGGGCCGCCCCGTCCCATCCCGCCCGGTGCCCCCTGCCGCCGCCTACGATGGACGTGCGGGCGGCGGCCCCGAGGCCGCGGTGCCGGGTGGGGGGATGCGGGGAGCGGGGCAGGCCGGGCCGGGCCGGGGCGCGCCGGGGGGGGGCAGCACTGAGCGCCCCCTCCCCACCTCCCCCTCTCGAGATGGGGGGGGAGGGGGCCGTCGAGGGGGGGTGCTCGTGCGGGGGGGTAGGAGGGGGGGCCAGGCCCGCGCGGGCGCGCGCGCGCTGATTGGCCGCGGCCGCCGAACCCCAAGAGCGGGGGCGCGCGGGGCGGGGGCGCGCGCGCGCTCCCTCGCGGGATGGCGGCGGCGGCGTCGGGCGCGCGCATGCGGGGGAGGGAGGAGGAGGGAGGCGGCGGAGCGGCGGCGGGGCCTGGCCGGGCCGGGTCGGCGCGTCTCCCCATCCGCCCGCTCCGGGGGCAGGCGCCGAGCCGCCCGCGGCACCCGCAGGTGAGCGGCGGCCCTGCGGCAGCGCCCAGCAGGGCGAGCGACCCCGGCGCCGGCCGTGCCGAGCCGAGCCGGGGTGGCCGGGCCGCGGCCTGGGGCCTGTAGTGCGGCGGTGGCGGAGCGGGGCCGGCGGAGCCCAACGCGGCCCCCGGGTGCGGCTGCCATTTTGCGGTGCAGGCCGGGCTGACCCCATTGTGCTGTGCCCGCAGGTGGATGCCCGCCGCCCGGCATGGAGCAGGCCTGCGAAGTGAGCCGCCGCAGCTGCCTCGTCCCCTTCGGCACCTCGCTGTCGGCCGCAGAGCCCAAGAGCGGCCCCTTCGGCGAGGCCCGCGGCCCCGAGCCGCCCGCCATGCAGCTGGCGGCCGCCAAGCCCGGCTACGGCCAGGACCCATCGTCCTGCTACATCCCGCTGCGCCGGCTGCAGGACTTGGCTTCCATGATCAATGCCGAGTACCTCGGCGGTGCCGCCGACGGCACTGAGGCCCTGCCCGACCCTGGCTCGCCGGGCCCCCGCCTGCCCGCGGCGCAGGACCCTGCGGCCGAGGTGCCCCGCGGGGCCCGGGCCTTCCCCCTGCTCCTGCGGGACGGTGGAGAGGAGGCGCCGGAGGAGGAGGAGGAGGAGGAGGGCGCCGAGACTCCGGAGGAGGAGGAGGAGGACGACGACGACGACGACGACTACGACTACGAGGAAGAGGAGGAGGACGACGACGACGACGACGAGGAGGCGGCGACAGAGCCCGGCCCGCGGAGCCGCGGCCGCTCCGCTCCGCAGCGGGGCCCCGACAGCCGCCTGCAGCCGGCCGAGTCCGTGCCGGACCGCGGCCCCGGGGAGCAGCCTGAGTCCTCGGCGGCCCTGCAACTCGTAAGCACCGTCGGGGAGCGGGCGGGGGGGCCGTGGCCGCTGCCATTTTGCGGTGCGGCAGGGCCGGGCCGGCCGCGCTGCCTCCCTCGTCCCGGCACCCCGGAGGATGGGAGCCATCTTACCGAGCGAGGGGGACCTTGCTGGGGCCAGCCCGGGCTGTCACCGCGCTCACCGCGCACCTGTGTCCCGGCGCGGCCGCCCGCGCTCCCCCCGCCGCTTTTTCTCCCGTCAGGAATAAGAGGCATCATCGTTCTGCCCAGCAACTCGCTGCGGAGTTCGGTGGAGTTTTTCCCCGGTTGGAAGGGGTTTTTTTGAGCGCAGTGCAGATGAGGAGGCCAGGAGGGAGCATTCCCATCTCCTGCTCTCCGGCTGAACGCTGTCACTGGCTCTTTGTCTGGCCAGGCCTGAGGTTCCCGAGCTGTGAGACCTTGGCGGTGGCCGGGGAGAGGCCGTGTCATGGCCTGACAGACCTCACGGGCAGCAAACCTTGCCTCTTATTCAGGCTTTTTGTTTCCTGGTTTTTTTTAAATTTCTCTCTACACTCACAAATTCCTTTAATTATAATAGAATTAATAAGAAGCAGAACTGACGGAACTGTAGGAGTTCTGAAACGAGATAGATGCATTTAGTATATTTTTTTGTGTAATTTGGTTTTGAATCGAAGTATAAGAGATGTTTCTCAGTGTAAGCTTTTACTTGCAGCCGTATTCATATATTTCCTGCAGTTTTAGGTTCTTTGGTTTGGGGTTTTTTTGTTCAATTTGTTCTTCAATTTGTTTTTCAACCTCAAGGTTCCTTGCTGGAGTATACTCTGGGCTTTTTAAGTATTGATGCAGGGTTTGAAGATTAGCTCCTTTGACAGGACTAATACTGAAACCATTTTACTCTCTAATTTCAGTGGAGCCACTGATGCTGGACAGGTTGTGTGTGCAGTGCTTGGGAGGCAGGATTGTGTTCCTTCGGGAACACTCAGTGTTCCTGCTGCGTGCTCTGGGAGGTGGGGAGCACCTGTCACAGAGTGCCCGTGGAAGGAGCCAATCTCGGGAAGATGCTGACAGCAGCTTAATTTGTGGAACAGTTCAGGCTTGTGGATACTCTTAAGCGTTCCTTGGGAAAAGTCCCTCGGTCTCTGGTGATGAGGGGCTGCTGTGGGTCTGAGGTTTGTGCATCTCTTCAGCTTTGTTTTGCATAGGAAAGCGGGGATCTCTCGCAGACATGTGCTCGGTGATGCAGTTGTGGGAGGGTCTCACTCTGTAAACAGAAGCTCGCAGAGGTACTTTCACAACAGTTGCCTTTACAACGTGCTCCACAGAACTGCAGCTGGTACGGTGACAAAACCGTCCTAGTGATGGAGCCTGTTATTTGAATATACAACGAGGGTTAACTTTTCAGTAAAACTGCCTTACCTGTTTGCTGTAGTTAGCCTTCCTGGGTTGTTTTGCTGGCTTAAAAGCACAGCTGCTTTCCTAAAAAAAAAAAGGCAAAGAAGAAAAGCATTTTTTAGGCAGCCTGGGGTCTTGCTTTCCCTAAGTCTTACGTTCTTTCTTCAGTAAGTAAAATGCACGTTGTCTGAGTGGTCCTTCATTTTAGCCCCACTGCTTGTAGAATGGGAGAAGAGAGGGATTTTTTTTCTGTGCCAGGTTACCACTGAGACAGTTAAAATATTTTAATGCTGAACGTGACATAGTAGCTAGAAATAACCAGGTTTGCTCTTCAGGTCGTGTATTCATTTAGGCATTTACTTTCAGTCTCATCTGTGTTTGGTAACTGGAATCAATTTGTTTTTTGAGAACCTGCTAAAACTTGAAACAAAAACCCACCCCAAAAAAAGCCTCACAAATCCCTGGGAGTTCTGCACAGCTGTTTGTCACAGCTGGGCTACTCTTACAGGTATCAGCTTTATGCTGCCTATTGATGGGGCTTCTCCACCTTACAGCAAGGCTGTCTCAGAGCTTTTATTTTGGGAGCTCATGGCTCTGAATGTGCCACTGCCGCTCAGACTTCCTGTTTTGCCAAGAGGGAAGTGTGTGTATCTCGGATGACTGTGTCTGCCCCTTGCAAGATTTGAATTTTTCGATAGATGCTTGCTTTGAAAAGGCCAATTTCTGAAATGTCAAGAGTGCTTCCAGCAGAAGGGCCAGAATTTGGTTTAGTCTTAAGTGGGATGCAAAGTCCAGCATGTAAATAATTCGACTGGGCAGGAGGGTTGGTGGCAGGTATTGTTTTGCATGGGGATTTGTAATAGCCCTGGCACCCCCTGCTCTCAAACATTATCCCAGACAGGGGAGGTTGTTCAAGTACCATTCAGTTGTAAAGAGAGATGTGCATATTCTGAAGTAAAGCTATTTTAAGTGCCAACTTAATCCTCCCTTAAGGGTGTCTGAAGTTCCCAGCACCTCCTGACAGATTTTGTGTTGTGGAGAAGGAGATGATAGCATCGGTTCTTGGGTCTTGTTCTCCAGAGATGGTGATATAGTGACTGCTGGCAGCTGCTGGCTTTCTGCCTTGTGCACATGTTGGGCTATGGCCATTTAAATTTAAATGGGTGGTTGTTCTTGAATTTCTCTGTTCTTTACCATCCTGATATGAGTTTGTCTGTAGTGCCTTCCTGGCATTTCCCAGTTGCAGAGGCCCTGGACAGCATTAGAGTTGGAGGGAGAGGTGAGTGCAGTGCTGGGGAGGGTGGGTACAGCCACAGAAGGTCTGAGTGCCATAGATATTGCTTGAATTAGAGCAGGTGGACTTGTTTCTTGTAGAACTCTCATGTGGAAATTTTGCTCTTCTAATGTAACTTTTGAGGCCTTAATACTTCAGCTTGTTGGTTTTTAGTTATTGCACACAAAGTATGTTTGAGTCATTTGGTTTGCAGAGTTGAGTGTTTGAGGAAGCAGAGAGTTCCTGGATTCAGGTACATCTGGGCCACTCCTGTGTGTACATTTTGCCTTCACAAACTGTTTTCTGCATGGGTCCCTGATGGTTTCAGACTTCAGGATGTGCAGAGGCTTGCATGAAGCTCAATGTCACTTTTCATTATTATTTCCTTATTGTCCATTCCCACGATGCAGGAGTGTGTTCTTCAGGTAATGACAGTGAGGAAGTGAGGTACAGGGAAATCTAGAGCCAGATGTTTTATCCCTGAGAATAGGCTGCTTTCAGGGGCTGGGTGTGAGGAATGAGTGAGGCATGTGTGTCAGCCTCCTGGAAGGTTTTTACTTTACCAGCAGAGTCCTCTCTAGAATTAGTCCATGATGAACTTGAGTTCTGCTCTGATCTGCAGCTGTGAGAGGGTACTCTCATTATAAAGTGTTGGTGTTGCCTGTGTCAAAGTTACTCTGGTGTTTGGTTTATTAACTGACGTGTCTGGTGCCATTTCTCTCTCTGCTAAAAATAAAATGAAGGAACCAAAGCCAAGTGATCTTCGCTACTCTTGTAAACATTTCTGAAAGAATCTCCTCCTACAGACTGTTGATCGGAGGTGTAACTAACTATTGATAACATTATATCCCTGAGATATAATAGGTATGACAGTGGTTTGTTTTAGCAGGGAGCATAAATTTCCTCAGTAATTTACATCTTCCTGGTGAGGAGATGCATTTTGTTTGGCTCTCAGTGATGGCTGCAAGCATCATCTCCCACTCTGTGCCCCTGGAGAGAACGGGGTCTTTGTGTGCTACTGTCCCCATGCCTCTGCCCTCCACACATCCCCCTTTGCCACTAGGATTTACACTAGTTTGGAAGATGGTATTATTTCACAGAAAAGACCACGTAGCTGGATCTTGCCTTGCTGTGCAGCCTGGTGGCACCCACCAGGCCTTGTACTGAAGGGTATGCCTGTTTCAAATAGCTCTAAACTTACCTATAAAGGACTTTAAGCTATGGTGGTCGTCCAGAAGAATGGGAAATTCCACAGTGAAGGCCCTGTGTTACTGCTTGACCATAAGTTTTTGAGGTCCTTAATGACTTCATGCTTTCACAGAGTGATGATGCTGCATTGCCACTTCGTTGTGATGGAGGTGTGAGTGGGTGGGTGTTGGGAGCTGTCATAGCAGGACCTGCTGTGTGTGAGGGTGTGAGAGCAGCTCATTCTGAGCATTCTGAACAGTCTGTAGGATCCAGAGCTCTCCTGCACAGCGGGTTGGATCCTGGAAGCGTTTTATCATGGCATTTGGCTGAGATTGCCCTTCCTCTTCTTGTTTCATTGTATTTGTTCTCTGATTGCTGATTAGGTGTGAAATATCTGTTTGTGTACGTTGTGTTACAGGAAATGACTTGGTTTCTCTAGAAAATACCTGGTGTGCCATGTGAAATTTAAATGACAGATGCCTTTGTGGGTTCATGTTCTGAAGCTGAACCTGTTTGCAAATAGCAAAACCAGAGGTATTTTCCTGCAGATTGGACATAATGACAGAAACCTCTGTGTAATTTCTGCTTTCTAAATTTAAAATTTACTTCTAAAACTTGAGCAGAAGTTGTTCAGGCGATGTCCTGGTTAATATTGGTTTGTCCTGGTTTGCAGTTGTAATTCTGGAAATAGTAGCAATTAAATTGGCTTTTGCAGGTGTTTTTTTTTTTTTGGGCTGGATGCCACTTCTCAGGCTCTGCTGGCTCTACTAAATGACTGTACATGCTGGTGATTTCTTTTGGAAGAGTATCTCCCACAAGTTGAACCTTTTTTTCCTAACAAATCTTAGGTTGTTAGGGGTACAGTGATTCAAGTTTTACTGTTACAACTTCTCAAGCCTTGGTAAAATCGATGGTAGTGGCTTAGTTTGATGCTGTAGCAGTAACCTTTGACTTCAGAGCAGCATATTTTGCATGAAGTCATGAATTTGTTCATTGCCTCTTGCAATGTAGCAGCTTCTTGTTGCACCTTATTACACCCTTGTTCCCAGAAGTAGGGTTAAACTGTGTGATGTGCAACAATTATTGTTTGGTTTTTTTTCTTAAATTTCCCCAAGTTAACTGAACAAATCCGCAGCTCACTCAAGAGGTGAACTCTGAATAATGGTCAACAAGCTACTTGAGCCCCAAGAACAAAGCAGTATTATCTAAGATATAATTGAGATGGTATTTCTTAAAAATATATTTGTAACTCAGAAGTTGGTGTTATGGATGCTGATCAATTTTCAGTGCAGTTGCTTGGAATATACTTCTGCTTTTCTTACCTGTGACTGACAGCTGATATATAGTGATTTTGATTGCTTTTCAATTATTTGCTCTGGCATTTAGAAAGGCAAAGGGAATAGAAACATTGGAAAGAAGAAATCTTAACAGGCAGGGGGTTGTCCTAGGAGTTAAAAAACTCAACAGTTTAG